CTGGAACACTTAGTACCCTCAGGCTAGACCAGGGGCCCCCATACATACATACATGAAACACGAAAAATACAGGGGGCCCCCAGGGGGGCCCCCACCCCCGCGGAGCCGATACATCCTCCTGCGCTGCGGGGGGTTGTTGCTGTGTCTTCCCTTGATGCCAAATTGCTGCTGCTGCTGCTGCTGCCGCTGCTGCTGCTGCTGCTGCTGCTGCAAGTGTCTTCTTGTCCCTCAAGATGAACGAGGTCCCCGCTGTCTCCTCACTGGGTGCAGCAGCAGCAGCAGCACTTGCTGCTGCTGCTGCACCTCTAGCTGCTCCGTCACTAATAGAAGCAGCTTGCGCCAAGCAGCAGCAGCAGCAGCAGCAGCAGTAGCAACAACAAAGAGTTGTTGTTGCTGCTGCTGCTGCTGCTGCTGCTGTTGGCTGCCTGGGGGCCAACCGAAGGGCCCCCTGAAGAGACAGCTGCACGCATGCATGCATGCATGCATGCATGCACGCATGCAGCATCATCTATTTCTCCTGCATGCACGCATGCATGCATGCATGCATGCATGCATGCATGCATGCATGCATGCATGCATGCATGCAGCATCATCTGTTTCTCCTGTCTCCTTAACTGTCTCCTCCGCCTCTAAGACAAAAGAGAGACAGGTAGAGGGATAGCTGAAGCGTCGGGGATACGCATAAAGAGAGAAGCAGCAAAGGCATTGCTGGCCCTTTCATTCGGCTCTGCTGCTGCAGCAGCAGCAGCTGCTGCTGCTGCTGCTGCTCTCAAGGGAGCGCCAGCAGCAGCAGATGAAACTGAGCTGCTGCTGGAACTTCTCCTTGAAATGCAAGGCCCATCAATCCTTTGCCGCGGCAGACTTATTCCCTGCTGCTGCTGCTGCTGCTGCTGCTGCTGCTGCTGCTGCTGGTGCTGTTGGTGCTGCTGGTGCTGTGGTTCTTGCTGCAGCTTCTGCTGCAGCAACTTCAGCTTCTGCTGCAGCAGCTGCATCTTCTGCTGCCGCTGCTGCTGCTGGTTCAGAGAAAGCTGCACAAGCTGCGGAGAAGGCTGTAGATCAGGCTGCAGGAAGGGTTGCTGCCGCTGCTGCTGCTGCTGCTGCTGCTGCTGCGGTTGCTGCTGCAGTTGCTGCTGCTGCTGCGGCTGTCCCTGCTGTCTGCGTCGCTGTCGCATGCGCTGCCGCTGCTGCTGTGCAGGCGACTCTTGGCGTTGCTGTTGCTGCTGCTGCTGCTGCTGCTGCGGCCATTGCTGCTGTTGCTGCTGTTGTTGCTGCTGCCACTGTTGCTGTTGCTGCTGCCTCTGCACACGCTGCAGCAGCTGCTCATGCTGCTGCTGCAGCTGCTGCGCACGCTGCTGCTGCGGCTGCTGCTGCTGCTGCTGCTGCTGCTGCTGCCACTGCGGCTGATCCGTGGGCAGACTCTGCTGGCGGCCGTACTGCTGACAGACAGTTCGCTGCATCTGCCCCTGATACGTCTGCTGCTGCTGCTGCTGTTGCTGCTGCTGCTGCTGCTGCTGCTGCCGCTGCTGCTGCAGCCACTCGTGTTGCTGCTGCAGCTTGGCCTGCAGCTGGATCAAGTGCAGGTTATCTGCTGGCATCGGCCTCGGGTGGAGCTGCTGCTGTCGCTGTTGCTGTTGCTGCTGCTGCTGCAGCTGCAGCTGCCGTTTCTGCTGCTCGTTGCGGATTAGCCGCTGCTGCTGCTGCTGCTGCATGCGGCAAAAAGGCTGCTGCTGCTGCACAGGCTCATCCTCTGATGTCTGGGAGCATACTGATGAGGAGCAGCCGTAGCTGTCGGTGGTGCGAGCGCTGCTGCTGCAGCGGCTGCTGAGGGTTCCCCAGCTGCTGCTGCTGCTTATGTTGCTGTCTGCTGCCGTGCTGCAGCAAGAGCTGTCCACAGAAGCAGGACCACCACCACCAGCAGCAGCAGCAGCAGCAGCAGCAGGAGCAGCAGCAACAGCCCGCTCCTTCTGGCGCAGCAGCTGCAGCAGGTGCGTCGTCGCCCTGCAGCGCAGCTCGCTGGGTGCAGCAGTACCCTCATATGTTAGCTGCTGAGAAAGACCGCATGTTGCTGCGGGGGGCCCCAGGGGCCCCTGGGGGCCCCCTGTTGCTGCTGCTGCTGCTGCTGCTGCTGCAGCAACTCGGAAGCCCTGGTGGGCCCTCTGCTGCATGCTGCTGCTATCCAGCAGCTGCTGCTCTCCGCGCCCCCCCACCAGCATGATGTCCTGTAAGCGCCTCAGTAGTATTCACAGCAACAGCAGCAGCAGCAGCAGCAGCAGCAGCAGCAGCAGCAGCAATGGCCAAGTAAGAGAGAAGCTAAAGAGTGTGGCCTCGCACAAAGACAGAAGAGAAACAAAGTAAATGTTTGTGGCGTCGCTGAGAGAGACTGTCTCCTTTCTTTTGTCTCCAATAGTAAGAGAGAAAAAAGAGAAGGGGCCCCTGCTGCACCTGCTGCTGCTGCTGCAGTTGCTGCTACAGTTGCTGCTGCTGCTGCTGCTGCTGCTGCAGTAGACGCCTCTCCCTGTCTGTGCGTCTCTGCTGTAGAGACAGCTCAAAATGCTGCTGAAAGGCAACAGAAGGGAGAAAAAGAAAAAAAGAGAAAAACAAGAACGCGACAAAGCAAAGCGCTGCGTATGCCGTGATGCTCTTACAGCTGCTGCTGCTGTATTGCTGCTGCTGCTGCTGCTGCTGCTGCTGGTGTAGCTGCAGCGCCGAAGCAGCAAGGCGAGGAGGAGAGAGAGGATACACCGCGCCGCTGCTGCTGCTGCTGCTGCTGAGGCCTGATTGGCCCCCAAAAAAGAAAATAAAGTAAAACGATAAAAGTAAAGATAAACAGCGGTAGACCTGCTGCGAAAAAACAGAAAAAAAAAGAAACAAGAAGGCCCAATAGAGGAATAAGTGAGCGCCTCCTTCACAGCAGCAGCAGCAGCAGCAGCAGCAGCAGCAGCAGCAGCTGCAGCAGCACCGCGCCACAGTACCTCGCAGCAGCAGCTTTCGCTTCGCTGCTGCTGAACCCTTTTTTTATTAACTTTATAGAACAAAGAATACGCCCAAAAAGCAACAAAAACTTTTTTTATATCTCAAGAAATACACGCATACACCAGAAGCAAAGCCCCAGCAGCAGC